GAGGCCTGGAAAGGGAGTCCAGTCTCTGGGTTTCAGACTAGGTAACGCACTAAGAGGCGTCAGACTCCTGGAGAATCTCAGGCCCCCCTCCTCTCCCCACGCCCTGCTCGGATTCCCCCGCCCCTACCTCCACCCGGGGGCGGGGCCAGGCGGGCAGTGCCAGCCCGAGGGCGCCATGCCCAGGCACACGGCCTGGGGACCTAAGAGGCCCCTCACCACCCTGGCCAGGCCCGCACAAAGCTGCCTCCTCTGTGGACCTGGAGCCTGGAAACTCTCTCTCCTACCCTCAGACTCTTGAGCATAGCGTGGCCGAAGGAGAACATTCCCAGGGGCCCCTGCTCGGCCTGAACTGAGGCGGCCCTGGTAGGATGTGCCGCCAGCTCCCGGGGTCCTGGCCGTCTCCCTTCTGCATCTGGATCCTCCTCAGTTTCCTGTTCCTGGAAAACCCTCCCCGTCTTTCTAAAGACATGTTGTAGGTGTTAAGCTGTGGCCTGGGCTTTCTACATTAGCCTGTGTTCTTATCCCAATCAAAAGTCAAGTGAGGGGCTTCCCTGGTGGCGCAGTGGTTGAGAGTCCGCCTGCCGATGCAGGGGACGCGGGTTCGTGCCCTGGTCCGGGAAGATCCCACATGCCGCGGAGCGGCTGGGCCCGTGAGCCATGGCCGCTGAGCCTGCGCGTCCGGAGCCTGTGCTCCGCAACGGGAGAGGCCACAACAGTGAGAGGCCCGCATACGGTAAAAAAAAAAAAAAAAGTCAAGTGAGATCTCCCTAAACACCCCGATTCCTCACCAAGCAGGATGAGGTGTCTGTGATCTGAGGGACGGCTGGTACGGGACCTCTGAGTCCCCCTCCCTGCCCAGGCAGGAGGCAGGACTGGCTGAGAAGTGGGCCTCGGGTCCCTCACGCCCTGTGGTGGGCTCCACCTGGGGGCTTAGCCGCACAGTCCTCGTGCCCCGTGTCCTTGTGGGGGATGGACCTCGCTTCGCCTCTGGATGGGGTAAAAATTGGCATTTACAGGCACCCACCCTGAGCCGCTGGCATCTTGTGAGGAAGATGCAGCCAGCAACTCTGCCCGAGGCCACCGCACACAGGGAAGGAGATGCTCCAGCCAGTGCTGGACCAACTGGACATTGGTGAGTGGACCATGTGCCCTGGGCACCTGCAGGAGATCAGCATGTCTGGAGCCTCCTCTCTGGCCCAGGAGGCTGGATGCATGTGGAGGCAGAGGAACCACAGGATGTGGGCTGTGGCCGGTGCCAGTGGCATCCACATGCTTCCTCTGGCCTGTCTGTCCACTCAGCTTCCCCTGGGGCTGCTGTGTGTCCCGGGTGTGGATCAGGGACAGAAGCCTGAGCTGCCAGCCCTGCCCTGAGACTGTGGACGCAGGCCGTGCCGGCTGGCTCCTGGCTTTGCCGTCTGACTGTCTGATCCGAGCCTCCTTTGAACTCTGGTCCGTGTCTAGCCCAGCAGGTGGGAGGAATTGGCCGTGATGCTCTGCTTGTTCTTAGACTCCTGAGCAGGGCTTTCCAGGTGGGAGGGGCTCCTGCTTACCTTCTAGCCCATTCTCCAGGTCACCCCATCCCCTGCCTGAGGCCTGGAGAGCCAGGGGTGGGGCCGGCTGGGAGCCAGCAGTTGGTACTGGACCTTTAGAGGCATGTCCAGATACTGTCTGCTGCTTGGTGACCTGAGGACATAACACACCCCTAGGCTTAGATCTTTCTTAAAAGGAGAATTTTCTTTTTTTTAGTCAACAGCTTGCATAAAACCTGCTTTTTCTTTCTTTCCTTTTGCTTTTCTTTTTTAAAATTTATTTTTACTGATATACAATAGGCAACATTCTATTAGTTTCAGGTGCACAACATAATGACTTGGTACGTGTATGTATTGTGAGTAAATGGAGAATTTTTATACTGGCACTACTGTGTGTCTGCTGTAGATTGGTGCTTTTCTAGTCCAGGGGACACCAAGGGCGCTTGTTAAACCTGCAGGTTCCTGGGTTCCCATCTGAGGCGGGGCCTGGGAATCTGCATGCTCTACAAGGTACCCCACCCCCACTCTACCGCAGCAGGGTGAGTGGCCAAGCTCTGACGACATGCCCTCTGTCCCCCAGCCCTCATTTCCCCTACCTCACCTCCCCCATCACACACACACACACACACGCACGGCACGGCACGGCCTTCCACGTCGTATGTCTCCCCAGGACTCCAAGCCCCTGTGGGCATTCTCTTGTCACCTCTGAACAGGTGAAGCAGCATAGCGTGAGAGAGAGGGATGGGGATTTCTATATCTTCTCTGGCTTGTTCTCTAGGTCCATACATTTGTCGTATCGCTCACTGCACATATAGTAAAGCATATGCACTTAAGTGTAAAGTATGCTTCAAAGTCTTGTTTTTGACATACAGAAGTGGACACAGTTGTATTAGGTCACAGTGGTTTTCTAGACAGAAAAGGGCCCTGTCTGGAGAAGAGGGCTGGGCAGGTGATGTGCCATCTGCATCCTTACGGTGTTGCTCCCACCTTGGACGGACCGGGGCACTGGCTTCAGGGTTTCCTGTTTCCTGACAGCTCTGGGGGTGCTCAGGCCCCGAGTCCCTGCTGGTGGCAGTGGCTTTCTGCTGACAGGACAGGAGGTCCAAGTTGAAGTTTGCTACTTACCGGCCCCCAAGTGTCTACAGCAGTTGTAGAACCCTTCCAGCTCCATCCCGAGCACCCAGACTCTGTCCTCATGGTGGGCAATGAAATCATCCATGATGCCCCGACCTGGACACCGAGTTCCCCACCTGTACCAGCCTCAACTGGCTCATCTCTGCCTCCCTGCTTTGAGGATGGCCTGACCTGGACCTCACGGAGCTCCAGGTGCCTCTGGTCACTGACTCACCCGTTATCTTGGCTGCAGAGGCCGACCGGAGGAGCTCTCAGTGTCCGAGATCTCCAGTGCCTGCTTTGAACCCTCCAGCCAGAGGGTCGAGTGCGGCCCCCGCCATGGCAGATCCACAGTGGAGACCCGGTGCCCAGGATGGGAGCTGCCGTGGCTATGGTCAAGGGCAGGCACCTGTCCGGCTGGGCTGGTGTCCCACGGCTTTCAAGGCAAGTAGGAATGAAGGGAGGGATTGGCGGCGGCCTGTGGACCCCCTGAGCGGGGCAGGTCCTGCAGAGCTGGTGGCATGAAAACAAACACACTAGGGATGGGAGAGTCCTGCAAATTCAGCTTCAGAGGCTGTCTTTCACTTAACAGATCCCACCGTCTCTGGAACCCAGGTCTTTGGCCTGTGCCACAGGGTCGAATCTATCTGAAAGTTTGCCTTTGTGAAAGGAAAAGTGTTTCGTGCCTGTTAGCCTGGCAGAGAGGCACCCCCGGACCTGCCAATCAGGCTGGGGCGAGGGCCTCACCGGTCACATGCCGGGGACACACCCGCTCACTGTGGCTCCCACAGGGCCTGGAGCGGGGCGGGGCGGCCGTGGGGGTAACAGAAAGGCCTCCATTCAGATAACGGACAACACAGGGTCAGAGGTCTAAGAACACGTCTCTTCCTTTTGAGTAATTGGTTTCCCCTCCACCCTCTCGTCAGTTCACAGTCCCAGAGGGAACCTGGCGTTAAGACCTGGTGCAAGTTTTATGGGTTTTCTTCCAGGGTGAGACTCTAGCAGCTGTGGCGTTTAGGAAACAGGCAGCTTTGCCACCCTGTTACCCCGCTGCCCGCGTGAGCATATGAAGGGAGGGCAGGCAGGGCTCCTGATCACAAAGGTAACAATGAAGAGGTGTCTGTAGCTCAGCACGAGGGCAGCAGGGCAGCGTGTCTGGGAGGCTGCACGTTCGGAAAGCTGTGGCTTCTCGGGGCGGAGCAGCTGCCCTCAGGAAGTAGCACCCTTGCCGTCCTCAGAGGCTTTGAGGCCTTTTTTTGAAAAAAATTTTTTTTTATTGAAGTATAGTTGATTCACAAGGTTGTGTTAATTTATGCTGTACAGCAAGATGATTCAATTATACATGTATCTATCCTTTTTCCGATTCTTTTCCCATATAGGTCATTACAGAGTGTTGACTGCAGTTCCCTGTGCTATACAGTAGGACCTTGTTGTTTATCTGTTTTATATACAGTAGTGTGTATCTGTTAATCCCAAACTCCTAATTTATCCCTTCCCCACCTTTCCCCTTTTGTAACCATGAGTCTGTTCTCTATGTCTGTGAGTCTGTTTCCATTTCGCAGATAAGTTCATCTGCGTCGTATTTTAGATTCCACATGTAAGTGACAGCATGTGGTATTTGTCTTTCTCTGTCTGACTTGCTTCACTCAGTATGATAATCTCTAGGTCCATCCACGTTGCTGCAAATGGCATCATTTCATTCTTTTTTTATGGCTGAGTAGTATTCCCTTGTGTGTATGTACCACCTGAAGTTGCCCTTTTTTTTTTTTTTTTTTTTTTTTTTGCGGTACGTGGGCCTCTCACTGTTGTGGCCTCTCCCATTGCGGAGCAATGGCTCCGGACGCGCAGGCTCAGCGGCCATGGCTCACGGGCGCAGCCGCTCCGCGGCATGTGGGATCTTCCCGGACCGGGGCACGAACCCGTGTCCCCTGCATCGGCAGGCAGACTCTCAACCACTGCGCCACCAGGGAAGCCCGAAGTTGCCCTTTTTTAAAACACATTTCCTGAATAAGAAATGTATTTATATATTCTGAACAGAGCAGTGTTTAAAGTAGGTTAAGTTTAGATCCAATTGGAGATTGTCACAAGGTTTTATATTTTTTAAACTATTAATTTTCTAAACTACAGGAAAGTGGTGAGACTAGTGTAATTAATGCCCATATATCCACTACCTGGATTCAATATGAGTCTACTGTGTTTATTTTGCTCTGCTGACCCACTTAAACTCACTGATAGCTATTACATAACACACAAATCTGTTTTTTGTGACTAACGAAACTAATGATACTTCCCCAAATAATACCTAATCAGTATTCAGACTTTCCCAGTTGCCACAAAATTTGAGTCAGTTTTTCAGTCAGCATATAATCGAGGACCAAGTGTTGTATTTATTTGTGTCTTAAATTTTTTGCCATAAAGCAGCCACCCTTTTTCTGGACTGTGATTTTGAAGGGACTCGTCTCGCCGTCTTGAATGCCCCACGTTCTGGAGTTCTGTTCCCTGGTGGTGGGCAGCACGTTGCTCTGTGCCTCCGTTTCTTGCAGGCTGGCAGACCAACCGCAGGTGACCGCCCTTCCCAGTTATAAGAACCCTTATACAGACAACTTCCAGGGAACACAGACGCAGGCACTAGTGCTACTTGCTGGTTCTCCTTAGCTCGACATCAGCCACCAGCCCCGCGGTGGCGCCGGGAGACAGCGGAGTGGGGCGGGGTCTGCATGGTCGGCTGAGGCCCCAGTCACGCCCCCCCCGTGCCCAGTGTGTGGGTGCCAGGGGGGAGGACAGGAGTCCCCTGAGGACCTGGCCGCCTTGGAAGACCGTGAAGAGGGGCACAGGGTGGGAGGATGGCGAGGACGAGAGTGAGGACCCGGATGTTAAGCCGTCTCTCCGCACTTCTGCATCCTCCGTCCGCTGTTCCCACGCCCCGGGCGGGCGGAACTGTGATGCGGCATTCCGCCGGGCAGTGGGCCGTCTCCAACCTTCCAACGCCCTTGCCCTCCTTCCAAGGTAGCGCAGGGTGGCCTCCGCCCGCAGCGGCGCCCGTGGTCCCGGTTGAGCCCCACGGGTGTTAGGACCGGCCTCAAGGAAAGGTGAGCCGCGCCGCCTAGGGGCTCCGGCTGGAGCTGCTGCGGGTGCGCCTGCCCGGGAGCCGAGGGAGAGCGTCTCAGTCCCTGGGCCCCGGAGATTGTCCCCGCGAGGGCAGTGGAGGCCGAGGCCCTGTGCACTCGCAGGCCGGCCCGCGAGCGTCTTACCACGGCTCCACCCGACACCTTGTTAAGGCACGGCGTCCAAGAACCGGGATTCCAAAAGACGAGCCCCTGAAATGATTTACAAAGTGCCCATGAGCCTCTTACGCGAGGAGGTCTATAGCTTTTATTCTCAACGCGGTCCCCAAAGAGAAAGGAACTACTTTTCTAGGGTCTGTGGTCCGAGAGATCAGTGTGTTGTCAGTGCAAGGGCACGGCAGGAGGCAAGGACTGGGCGACGCCCTGCCAGCGCAGCCCGGGGTCCAGGCGGCTGGAGAGGCCCCTTCGGCAAGGGGCGTGGGGTCCCGTGCTCTCGGCCTGGGGCTCCCTGCTCTGATTTTTGGACACCCACTTCTGGCCTATAGCTCAGGATGTGTGTCTGCGCCAGTGAGCCCTGGGGCTGCCTAGGAATGTCACTGGAGGCCTTGCCTTGGGTTCAGGGGACGAGATACTAGCGTTAACCTAGGAACTGACCCCAGCATCTGTGAGCCCTGCCTGATGGACCCCTGGGAGGGGTTTGCTGAGAGGATGGTGCCCAGCCCCACCCCGTGACCCCCACGGGGCCCGCACGTGCGTGTCATGGGGGCTGTCAGACCCAGGCTATGGCTCTGGCCCCCCAGCTTCCTCTGTCCCCACAGGTCTGGGGGCAGAGGTCTGACAGTCCCCGCTTGACCAGGCCCTCAGCCTATTCTACTGGTTTGTCTTAATCTTAAAAAGCCCAGCTCTGGCCCTGGCCTGGGTCTTCCTTACCTGCACCCCTTTCTTCCATTTTAGGGAACAGAGTCTCCCTTGCTAGAGGTGTTAACTTTTTTTTTTTAATCTTTGGCTGCGATGGGTCTTCGTTGCTGCACGCAGGCTTTCTCTTGTTGTGGCGAGCGGGGGCTACTCTTCTCTGCTGTGCAGAGGCTCCTCATTGTGGTGGCTTCTCTTGTTGTGGAGTACGTGCTCTAGGTGCGTGGGCTTCGGTAGTTGTGGCGTGTGGGCTCGGTAGCTGTGGCTCGCAGGCTCTAGAGCGCAGGCTCGGTAGTTGTGGCTCACGGGCTTAGTTGCTCCTCAGCATGTGGGATCTTCCCGGATCAGGGCTCGAACCCTTGTCCCCTGCCTTGGCAGGCGGATTCTTAACCACTGTGGCACCAGGGAAGCCCCTAGAGCTGTTAACTTTCTACTTAAGAACCTTTTAACCTCCTGGTTCCTCTAGGACTCTGGGGGCTGGGATTGGAGGGGCAGTTAAGGAACAAGAGGAAAGGGGGGTGGTCAGAGAAACCTTCCCCGGGGACACGTCAAGGATCTGGGTCTATGTTGGGTGGGTCCATCCAGCCTGCTCTGCTGGAATCTTACCTGGACACCAACAGCCGACATTCTCTTTCCTCTCTTCCTTTCTCTGCTTTTTCCCTTGCTGGGCACATGAATTCATACATATCAATGTTAGCAGTCCTTCTGTTTGTTCAAAGCACCAAGGAGCGCGACCACCCCTCATCACACAGGAGCCCAGGCAACGGGAAGGAGGAAAGGCCAGGGAGGGTCAGACACGTCACCCTGCACCGAGCCGCCCCCCCAGCCCCCGCCGCGGTCCCGTACCAGATAGTGAGTCAGTCACTGGTGGGCAGAGCAAGCCGCGTGACTCACCTGGATAAAGTCCCAGCTGCCGTCTCCTCCTCTCGTGGCCCTAAACTGGAATAGATGTGAGTCATGCTCTTTTCCCACCTCCCATCCTTTTCAAAGTCTTTAAATAAGCAGGGAGGATCTTTGTTAAATCTGTGCTGGACCCCACCTCCAAGACCCAGCTGGAGCCAAGTCCCTCGGTCCCCAGGGAGAGCCTTGCCCGGGTTCCTTTAAAGTAGGGAGCCCTTGGCAGGGTGAGGATGGAAGGAGAAAGCATTGCCTTCGGAGCTGTGGCCCGAACTGGAGATACCTGAAGCCAGTAGGTGCTCTGCCTAACGCGTGAGCGTGAAGTGACCGCTTCCCCGGTGGGGCTGGGATTTTCTCAAAGCTGCTGTTACTGGGCTGCAGTTGGAGCTCTAGGACCGCGGTCCTGGCCACAGCAGAGGTCCGAACCCAGGAGGCTTCCTGCAGGCACCACCACCTCCCCTGACCCGGCCCCCGGGGGAAGTTGGTGGTTCTCCTGCTGATGGCGCAGGGCAGAAGACGACAGGGAATTAGCCCCATACCTGCGGGAAGGCTAGAGCACCTGGCCCGTAGCCCAGGCAAAAGTGAAAATTCCTGCGCTCGGAGACCCTATGGATGGGGCGGGAGGCGGTTCCTCTCCGTGGTGCCCGGTTTCAGGCTGGCTCCGCACCTGAGCTGTGCCCGGGTGCCTGAGACCAGAGCCTTTAGATCTGACCCCTCTCAGGGGTAAGTTTGTCTTCTGTCGGACGCGTTAACAGGTTTCCGCACGTATAAGGTGAAAGACAGGCTCCCGGGTGGAACTGTTCCTTTGTGAAGCTTTTAACAGTCTTCCTAGTCTCATTTCCCCGCCTCCTCCCCCGGGACAGCTGCGATGTGAGAACCTGCTGGCTCTGTCCATCCTTAGAGCTCCGACGAATTGCATGAGAACTCTGTGGATGAGCCTGGAGGGCACGGGGGGCCCCGGCCCAGCCCAGGGGAGGCTTCCGGGAGCCGGGTGCTGAAGGTGGCAGAGGCGGGTGTAGGAAAAGGTGCGGGAAATGTGGGCACACTTATGCTCAGGTGATGCTGAGTCGTTTGTAGCTGAAACTCGAGGTGGAGGAAGAGGCAGCTAGAGAAAAGCTTACAGAGCTGGATGACCTTGGTTTTGCATTTCTTTCTCAAATATTTATTGAGCATTTCTACGTGCCATGGATTTTTCTAGACGCTATAGGGAACCAGTGGGGAACAAAGGAGTTTAACTTCCTCCTGTATGAAATCTTCAGGTGCCGCACTTGGGAAGAACCTGTCCTCAGGACAGTGGTTCTCAGCCTGTGGTGAAGCCGCGAGATGTTTTAGGTTGTCACCCTGTGGTAGGTAGAGACCAGGGGCGCTGTTCTACACCCTACAAAGCACAGGACAGGTCCCCACCACAAGAATGACCCCTCCCCCAAATGTCATTAGTGCTGAGCTGGGAAGACCTAGCCTCAAAGGATGGCTTGGTGTTTGCAGGAGGGGAGCTTTCGGGGTGGGCAGGTCTCCACGCACGGGCGGTGAAGGGACAGAGGCAGCTGTAGTGACCAAGGTGGTGAATAGGCTTCACTCGGAGCAGTGAGGTGGGGGAGGGAGGGGCTGGGGTCACGGCACTTGGTGGCCAGATGACGTGTCACGTGGAGCGGAGCGTGGTTGACTTTAGATTCCTGCCTCGGCCCTCACGCGATGCTGTCCCTGCCATGTGGTTGCATCTGGATTTGGAGATGGATTCAGCTCTGGACGTTGTATGACTCCCCTGAGGCTGCCGTAACAGAGTCCCACAGGCTGGGAGCCTTCAACCACAGAAGTTAATTTTCTCACCATTCTGGGGGCTGGACGTCCACCATCAAGGTGTCAGCAGGGTTGGGTTCTTCTGAGGCCTTTCTCCTCGCTTCACAGACAGCCGTCTTCCTCCTGCGTCTTCCCTCTGTGCCTACGTCCTAATTCTCTCTTCTGTAAGGACACCAGTCATACAGGGCTCACCCGATGACCTGTTTGTCCTCATCACCTCTTTAAAGGTCCTGTCTCCAAACGGTCCCATTCTGAGGTGCTGGGGCCAGGACTTCAGGGGCATAGTTCAGCCCCTAGTAGCTCGTTCAGCTCGAGGTGCCCAGGGGCTGCTCTGGAGCCTGAGGTCAGGACGAGGTCAGCTGTGGGGAGTGTGGAAGGACAGAGGGGACAGTCAGGGTGTGGCTGTCCACAGCGGGAGAGACGCCCAGCCACGAGAGGAGAGCCACGGACGGCTAGAGCACAGGATGTGTTCTGGTGCAGAGTACGAGGCTCAAAGACGCGGTGACAGCTGGGTGCTTGGACAGGTGCGTCTGAAGGTGGGAAGTTGGACTTCCTGGGAGAAAAATTCATTTTATTTATTCACATGAATGCAAGACACAAGTCAGACAGTCTTCAAGACTTTCGATCTTCTTGGGGGAGGGGAAGAAACACCTGCAGCGAGATGACCCCCCCAGCACCCTCAGGGCCCATGACGTCAGCTCCTCAAGCAGTCCACGTGGCCCCACCCCCCGAACCCTGGGGCCTCAACACAGCCACTACCAAGGGGTCCCTGGCACAGGGGCTGCGACACCTGCCATTGGAGTCTAAGCTTAGGAGGGAAGAAACAAAGTCAGGGGAGGAAGCTCTGTGAACAGGCCACAGTACAATGTGACTGTGAACCTGGGCAGACAGTCCCCGTGGGGTTGACTGAATGGGTTTTCAAGGCTGCATAGGAGTTGACCAGGCCGATTGGAAGGAATGAGGCAGAGGGCACAGCCTGACATCTCAGAACTACACCCAGCTTTCCCTGGAGGAGCAGGGCAGAGTGGTGAAAAAAGGTGAAAACTACGGAGCAGGCAGTTCACGGGAGGGGGACCCCTGCCCAGACAGGAGCCCCCTGGTGAGGAATGAGGGCCCCGGAGGCAGGGCCTAGTTGCGGCGAGCGGGGGCTACTCTTCTTTGCGGTGCGCGGGCTTCTCATTGCAGTGGCTTCTCTTGTTGCGGAGCACAGGCTTCAGTAGTTGTGGCACGCGGGCTCAGTAGTTGTGGCTTGTGGGCTCAGTAGCTATGGCTCGCGGGCTCTAGAGCACAGGCTCAGTAGCTGTGGCGCACGGGCTGTGGAGCACAGGCTCAGTAATTGTGGTGCACGGGCTTAGTTGCTCCGCGGCATGTGGGATCTTCCCGGACCAGGGCTCGAACCCATGTCCCCTGCATTGGCAGGCGGATTCTTAACCACTGCGCCACCAGGGTCCCTGTGTGGGTGCATCCCAGGAGGCACGTGGCCAGCTCGGAGCCAGGTGAAAGGTCTCGGGGCAAGGTGAGGGGGAGCTGTGGTGCTCGGCTGTGGGCAGAGAAGGGCAGTGACCCCACCTGAGACCTCAGGAGTGCAGGGGTTAAGGTTCAAGGGGCGGTCATAAAGGTTGGTCCTCCCTGTGTCCCTGACACCTCAGCCCCACCTCACCGTGAGGCCAGCTCATCGCCTGGGGAGATGCAGCTGGTGACCCAAAACCTGCTCAGAAGGACCCGCAGGGCCCAGCCGAGGGGCGTTGTGGGCCCCCCTGGGGTTTCCTCCCCTCTGCACCCCCGTCCTCGGGAAGAAAGCCCGGTGAGTGTGCTGCTGGGAGGAGGAATTCTTTCCTCGGGTCTCTCCTCCTCTGTAAACTGAGGGGTGTGGACTAGATCTCCAGCTGAGGACACCCCTGTGTCTCTCTGGACGAGGATGCAGAACCCAGGCAACGGGGGAGAAGTTGAAGGAGGGCTCGTCTGCGGTTCTTCCCAGCAAGTCCAGGCCACTGCCGGCCTCTCCCGGGAGGGGCGGCTTTCCTGCCATCGGAAGGGCAGCAGGCGAGTCCCACGCAGGATTTCATGCAGCAGCAGCTAGTGGGGAGGCGGCAGACCCTGGCCCGTTTGGCCATCTTCTTCTAGAGAGCAGCTCGGGGGCAAGAGGCCCCACCCCTGGTGGCCGGGCCCCTCGGTGTGGATTTTATTAGCCCTGAGCACAAGTCACATCTACTCGTTGCGTTTAAGGCTCTGCAGAGGTGTGAGGGGCCGCGTGGGAATCCAGCAGTGTTACTCGTGCTTGAGAGCACACACTCTGAAGCCGGACTGGCCAGATGTGAGTCCCAGCTTTGCTGCTCAAGAACTGTGTGTGGCCCCTGTCCAGTCGCTGGGCCTCAGTTTCCCATCTATAAACTGAGACCGGAACAGTAGGACCCGCGGCTGAGGGCTGTGGGGAGGATTAAATGCCTAGAACAGCACCTGGGGCACCTCGAGGGTCCCCGGTGTTGGCTGTGGTCAGCGTGGCCGTCAGCAGAAGCCCGCCCCCAACCCCCGGGACTGATCTGAGGGGTCACCTTCCATCGGTGCTCTGCACACAACGAGCCTCTGTTCTGATTCGAAGGACTCCCTTCTTTGTGCTTCCCTGTAGCTCTTCCTTTCCCCCAAATTAAGCGCTTTTGAAGACACTTGCTGTCTGGTTCATTATCCCGATTTGTGCAGCCGAGGCCTCTCGCCAGCCGTGCTCAGTGTCCGGAGCCGCGCGACTGGCCCCGAGCGTCCGGGCTCATGGCACGACGTGGCTCCCGGCCCCTCCCGCTCGCGCTCTCACTGCCAGACACGCCGCCCGCCCCCGAGCTCCCAGCAGCTTGGACGTAGGTCAGAGGGGCCATTCATTAGGTACAGGCAGAGCTCTGTCCTCATTCCCAGCCACTCCGCCAGCAATGAGACCCGAGTACTTTATCGGAGTGATGGGCCGGCGCTGGTTCCTGGCAGAGGGGCCTCCGACAGAAGGAATGCGCGTTAGTGACCAGGCTCCGGGCCTGAGGCTCGTGGCACTCGTCTCACGCCTTGTGACAAGCCACCCCAAATCTGGTGCCGGGCAACCACCACCGCGTATTCGGTCAGGACTGTGTGAGCGGGCAGGGCTTGTGGAGGTGGCCTGCCGCCCCCCTGCCCCCCAGGTAGGGTGGGCGGGGCCACCTCCACTAAGGTGGCTGGACCGTGGCGTGGTCTGGGCCTCCCTCCCTCTGCCAAGCCTCTGGGTCCAGGGCCCCCCCCCTCCAGCAGGGGGACACTTTGTTCACGGACGGCCGCTTCCAGGGGGTGCACGGAAACCAGGGGGACTCGAAGGACCCAGGCCCAAGGCCCAGGTTCAGCGGGACGTGTTACACGCCAAACACCATCCCCCCTCCCCGCGGCCAAACCGCATGCTGAGGTCCTAACCCTCAGTTCCTCAGGACCTGAACGTCACTGGAAGTAGGGTCTCTGCGGATGTAACTGGAGGAGGGTGGACCCCGAATCCGACCTGACTGGTGTCCATATGTAAGGGGGAGTTTGGACACAGACACGTACAAAGGAGAAGGTCCGTGAAGATTGGAGTTATGCGCCCCCCGTTACCAGATCCTAGGAAAGAGGCCTGACAACCCCTCGACCTTGGAATTCCGGCCCCCAGAACTGTCAGACAATGAGTTTCTGTTGTGTAAGCCACCCGGTTTGTGGCGCTTCGTGACCACAGCCCAGCAAGCTAATACCGAAGGGGAACGACGGCCACGCTTGATGGGAGGGGTGCCCTCCGCGTCCAGGCTGGGGCACTGCGGTGGCTATGTTTGCAGACCCCCTGCTGCCCCCCGAGGGCTTGCCGGCGGCCGTGGGGAAGCCGTCCCTCCTTCTCATCCTAGAGAAGACGTGCTTCTTCATTATCCAGCTTTAAAACTTTGTGCCTCCCTGAGGGTTCTTTCGCCTGGATCAGAATCTCCTGGAGGGCTTGTCCACACAGACTGCTGGTCCCACCGCCCAACAACTGTCCGACCCAGCAGGTGGGGGCCTGACGCTCTGCCCTTCTGCCAGGTTCTCTCAGGAGCACACGGGGAGCGGCCTGGAGGGCCTGGCGTCAGGGTCACTGGGGCTCGCCTGGCGTGGCGTCCAGGCTCTGGTGTTGAGAGAGCTGAGCTGGGGGACAAGCGCTGCTCCCGGGGCCCCAGACCACGAGGGGCCTGCGCGACGGGACCAGGTCAGGGCACACCTTTTTAGAAAAACTTTCCTCAGTGACACACACAGCCCAAGCAAGACAGAGCTTTAATAAAACAAAGAGAAAAGTGTTGCCGGGAGTTCCCTGGCGGTCCAGTGGTTAGGACGCAGTGCTCTCACTGCCGAGGGCCCAGGTTTGATCCCTGATCGGGGAACTAAGATACTGCAAGCCGCGTGGCAAGTGTTCCTGACTCCCCGAGGTTACAGACCTGACTGCCCTGCAAGTCCTTGTGTCCTCCTCCCGACACTCTGGACCTGCCTCCGGTCCCAGCCACCAACAGTTACAGGCCAAGAAAGGGCGGGGCTCACTCCTCGAAGCCAAGAAGAGGGTCCCTGCCTCGGACGCGGCCTCGTAGGGGCCCCACGTGGGCGCCGGGCTGCGCCCTTCCCACTGCGTCAGTGCCTTGTGGGCCAGGATCAGAGTCACCTGAACCGACCCTGGCCTGACAGGGCCAGCGTGCGGGTGGGAAGGAGCCCCGAGGACGCCGACGGACTCTAAGGGAAACAGATCCATCGTGCTGACACGCTGCCGAGGTGCTGGACGGCCTGACACGCAGGCAGTGATTGCGTCCCTCGAGGTTTCAGCTCCTTGGGGAAGTGGCATTCCTGTTTCTCAGGTGCGGAAACTGACTTCCAGCCAGGAGAGGCGCTGCTCCTAGGTTGGCAGGGAGGGGAGGGAAAGCCTGGAGGTTGGCCGACGGGCTAACCTGGCAGTGTGACCTGACGCGGTGTGTCTCTTGAGACTGACCCCTCACACGTGCAGCCTTCATTTTCTCCCTCAGCAGCCCTGAATGTCTTCGTCCTACAGATGAGACCACTTGGGATCACGGAGGTCCAGAGCCCACCCCATGCTCCTGCCCCGCAAGGGAGCTGCCCCAGTGCCCGAGGAGCAGGGAGCCCTGGCTGCCCTGTCTGTCAGCCCTGTGGGTGACGGTACTGCTCCAGGGATCCAACCAGATCCTAAAGCAGCCCAGCCAGAAAGAGGAGGTGCGCGCCCTGAGGCCTTTTGGTGGGAAGTCTGCCCCTCCCCGCCCACCTGGGGTCAGGCAGGCAACACAGTGGAAACTCCTACCTGCCCGGGCCTGCTGAGGCTCCCAGGAGGGAGGGAAGGAGCTCAGACCTGTAGTAGGAGTCCCGGGATGCGCCAACAGGGAGCCCCCCAGACACTGCCTGGGAGTGAGTGGAGGCCTGGGGTCCTCCTTCGTGGGGGTGGGGGGAGGGCTGGGGGCTCTACACGCTGAGCCTTGGCACCCAGAGTGAACGGGCAGACAAGCTGATGCACCTGGGGGTCTGGCACCTGCCTCACAGGTTTGATTCCCTTTAACCCTCGTGCCAACGCCGTGTGGCGGGTGGAATCCTCGGTCAGAGTGGGGAGACGGCTCCGAGGGGTTAACGACGTTTTAAGATCTCTCAGCTCGGAAGTGGAGCTGGGACTAAAACCCAGGTTTGGTGACAACAAAGCCTCCGTCCGGGTTTTCCATTGAGGCTGGTTAACCCGTGGATAGAGCCCAAGGCTTCAGGAGAAGGGAAAGTTTGCACAGGTGCCTGGCACCCCTTGGGTACTCAGTAAAGGTTTGGATGAATGAAAAGCTGGAAGCAAAGGGTTGCTGCTGGGTCCTGGATTGGGGCCAGCGTGGGGGAATGGAGGCAGTGGGCTCTCCCCGGCTCCCTGGTGATGGGTGTCCAGGCCTCCCCAGTCTCACCGGGAAGCCAGGTCCTGTCCTGCCGGGCCAGCACTTGGGAGCAGGAGCCCAGCTCCCAAGACACAGAGGCAATCCATGAGGACGCAAAGCAGAGGATGTGGCAGGCGTGGAGGGAGGGAAAAGGTCAGTGGGGACTGACCTGAGGGGAGCCCGACAGGCTGCTGAGGGACCACTCGGAGGGCGTGGGGGGCTGGTGGGAACTTTGATTCCTCCCCACCCGCACCGAAGCCCCACCTAACGACCAAGATCCCCAAGAAGCGGGGAGCTTGCTGTGAAAATTAGCAGAAGCCTCAATGAAAAGAGAGTCAGGAGGCCATCAGGGGATTGCAAAGCCCAGAAGAAGAGAGCCTGAGTGGAGCACGGGCTCTAGGCATGTGGGCTTCAGTAGTTGCAGCCCGCGGGCTCAGTAGTTGTGGCTCATGGGCTCTAGAGCGCAGGCTCGCTGGCTGTGGCACACGGGCTTCGTTGCTCCACGGCATGTGGGATCTTCCCAGACCGGGGCTCCAACCTGTGTCCCCTGCATTGGCAGGTGGATTCTTAACCACTGCACCACCAGGGAACTTCCCTTCTGGCAGGAGCTCAGCCAGCGAGAGGCCTCCAGCCTTCCTGACCTCCCTGCCCCTGTAACAGAGCTCTCTCCCTGGTGTGGGGTCCTGCACGGGGCTCGCCAAGGCGGCAGACCCTCGGGCCCCGGAGACGCGGCGGGGAGGGGAGGCCCTGGTGGGACCTCAGGCCGCTTGCTCGCATGCTTCCTTCCACTTCCCTGTCTGAGGACACCGCACCTGTTGGCTGTCACCTCCTCTGGGAAGCCTCCCCTGATCCCTCTCCTCTGCCCCTTTTAATTAATTAATTAATTAATTAATTTATTTATTTTTGGCTGCATTGGGTCTTCGTTGCTGCGTGTGGGCTTTCTCTAGCTGCGGCGAGCAGGGGCTACTGTTTGTTGTGGTGTGCGAGCTTCTCATTGTCCTGGCTTCTCTTGTTATAGAGCATGGGCTCTAGGTGCAAGGACGTCCGTAGTTGTGGCACGCGGGCTCAGTAGTTGTGGCTCACAAGCTCTAGAGCGCAGGCTCAGTAGTTGTGGCGCACGGGCTTAGTTGCTCCACGCCATGTGGGATCTTCCCGGACTAGGGCTCGAACCTGTGTCCCCTGCATTGGCAGGCAGATTCTTAACCACTGCACCACCAGGGAAGTCCCTTCTCTGCCCCTTTAATGCAGTATTTCACTTGTCTCTCTCTCTGGACTAGAAGCTCTTCAAGGCCAGAGTCCACAGGCTTTTACTCTGTCCCTGTGCCCGGGGCCTGACATGTAGTGGTCAGTCAGGAAAAGTTTGGACATGAGGCTAAGCGGCAGGCCTAGACTGGGGTGGATGGGAAAGTAGGAGCTTACAGCAGTTGAAGCACTTTGATGGGAGAATGAGCAAGGTTGGGTAAAAGCATTTTAAATAAGCAATTCCAGGGGATTCTGATGCAAGTGGTTCATAGACCATTTTTTCAAAGCACTGTTTTAGGACTTTGAGTTTATGTATGTAAGGTAACCATTGCCAGAAACACATACAAGCTAAAGAATTTGGTGTCAGACGTGCTGGGCTGAGGTGACAGTTAAACCCCAGTGGAGAGTGTCGTCATCAGCTGGACACGGGACTCGGAGGCTCAGATTGGACACCCCAGAGGGTGATGTCGACGTGGGTGGTGCCTCAAAGTTCATTCAGGTAAGGCTCTGACCGTGATTGAAAGTCATCAAAGAAAGAAGATACGGACAGAGTGAAAGACCTCGGAATTTTCCCACATTTAGGGATGGCGGAGATGGAGACCACGACTAGTCAGAGAGGTAGGTGGAAAAACAGGTTAGTTTATGATTGATTGGTGAGAAGAAAGCTGAGGGCTAGAAGGAGGAAGGGGAGGGAGTGCCTGTCCCGAGCCGAGTTCTCATCGGCTGCCTATCCTGACCCCCTGGCTGCCCCACCGGGATGCCTGGGGTGACCCCCCAAAGCACGAACAGTCACTCCGCTCTCCTGCTCAGAACTGCTCCGTGATTCTCTGTTGCCACCAGGGTGTTCTAAACCCTTTCATTTGCTTCTACAGCTTTTAAACAAACAGCTGCCTTACTGAGATATAATTCACATACCCTAAAATTCACTCTTCTTGAAGTACACAATTCAATAGTTCGTAGTCTATTCGCAGAGTGCAGCCATTACCACAGTCAGGTTTAGCACATTTTCATCACCCCCATAGGAGTCCCTTTGGACCTGCTTATTGTGAACATTTCATACAAGTGGAATCATATACTATGTGACCTTTTGTGACTGATTTCTTTCACGTAGCCCAGTGTTTTGAAGGTTTGTGCGTGTTGTAGCGTGTATCAGTATTCCATCCTTTTTGTAGCTGAGTAGTATTTCATTTTCATCATCTGATATACCACATTTTGTTTATTCATCCATCAGTTGCTGGACATGTGGATTGTTTCCACATGTTGGTTATTATAATGCTGCTATGACCATTCATGTGTAAGTCTTTGTGTGGATATATGTTTTCATTTTTTCATTCATTTTCATTCCTACAGACCTAGGAGTGGAATTGCTGGATCATATGGTAACTCTATCTAACATTTTGAGGATTGTTCAGTGGTTTTCCAAAGTGGCTGCCCCATTTTACAACCCCACCATCATGTATGAGGCTCCAATTTCTCCACACCTCGCCAACACTTATTTTCTGTTATTTATTTATTTATTTTATTTATTTATTTTGGCTGCATTGGGTCTTCGTTGCTGTGCGCGGGCTTTCTCTAGTTGCGGCGAGCAGGGGCTACTCTTCACTGCGGTGCACGAGTTTCTCATTGCGGTGGCTTCTCTTGTTGCAGAGCATGGGCTCTAGGTGCACGGGCTTCAATAGTTGTGGCACGTGGGCTCAGTAGTTGTGGCTCGCAGGCTCAGTAGTTGTGGCGCACGGGCTTCGTTGCTCCGCAGCATGTGGGATCTTCCTGGACCAGGGCTTGAACCCGTGTCCCCTGCGTTGGCAGGTGGATTCTTAATCACTGTGCCACCCGAGAAGCCCTTATTTTCTGTTTTTTAAATAGCTGTCCTAGTGAGTGTGAAGTGTTATTTCACCGTGGTTTTGATTTGCATTTCCCTAATGACTAATGATGAGTGTCTTTTCACCTGCTTATTGGCCATTTTCGTATCTTCTTTGGAGACATGTCTATTCAGATCCTTTGCCCATTTTTAATTGGGTTATTTGTCTTTTTCTTATTGTGTGTAAGCTTGCTTTATATATTCTGGACGCCAGTCTCTCATCAGACATATGATTTACAAATAATTTCTTCCATTCTGTGGGTTGTCTTTTCACTTTATTGATAGTGTCCTATGAACCACAAAAATTTTAAATTTTGATGAAGTCCAATTTATCTATTCTTTGATGGCTTGTGCTTTTGGTGTCATACCTAATAATCTATTGCCTAATCCAAGGTCACAACGATTTACACCTGTGTTTTCTTCTAAGCGTTTTATAGCTTTTAGCTCTTACAACTAGGTCTGTGATCCATTCTGAGTTCACTTTTAATACAATGTGAGGTAGGAGTCACACTTCCTTCCTTTGCACATGGGTATTCAGCTGTTCCACCACCACTTGTTGAAAAGACTATTCTTTCCCCCACTGAACTGTCCATGGTCCTTTGTAAGCAGGTCTTTTCTTAGTCCTGTGGCCTCATCTTCTGTCCCACCACTACTCCAGCTTGCCCTCCATCGCCAGCCCCACTAAATGATTTTTTTCCCCAAACGAGCCAGGTTTCTTCTCACCTCTGGCCCACTTCTCTACATGCTGTTTCTTTTACTGGAAAATTTCCCTGACCTTCTTTCCTCATCACCTGGCTATCTTCCCCAATTATCTGGCAGGTCTAGGCTTACACGTCTTCCAAAAAGCCTTTCCTAAGCTCCCAATAAAGTTTCAACACAGGTCTGTACTCCCCCAAGGGCCCTGTACTTCTTAACCCCAAGAGGAGCTTTTTTGTCCCTGGCACACAGTGGGGATTCAGTCATTCTGATGAATGGATGAAGCCCAGAAGTCAAGGAAGAAGACTGATTTGTACTGTGTACCTGCTGCAGCGAGTGAAGGAGAATGAGATCTGAAAACAAAAATGCCACTAGGTTTTGACTATTTTTGTCTTTACAGAGAGGAGTTTCAGCAGCGCTGGGATGCAGAAGCCAGAATGCAGAATGCGGAGGAGAAAGTGAAGCTTCGGTTACAAGCTGTTTGTGCCCGAGTTCGTTTGTGAGGGAAGAAGGGAACTAGATTGGCGCCACGGAACAGCTTAAAAGGACAGAGTCAGGGGCTTAGTTTTATTGGTACGCGTCCATCTGCTGCATTCCAGAGCCTCAGAGAGTTCGACTTCTGATGAGAGGCCCTTCCTTGGCTTCTTATGATGGAAATTCCAGGGCCTGGCCATGATTTCCCCTCCTGCTACCCCTCACCCCTGGCCTCTAACTGTGTGCGAACACACACACCAACACCCTGTATTTGTGCTGATCTCAGCATCCCAGGGATAGATTCTGGGAATGACCAAGGCCTTGTCCCAAACTGGGCTAAGCTATATCCAGCCCAGAAAAAGACAACCTATAAGAGTCACTTGTTTGGGTAGGAAAAGGAAGGAACAGGTCTAACATCTCGGCGGCACCAGAAGAATGACCACGTCTTCCCTCTCTGCCCCTCATTCCCTGGCATCCCCACCCCGCCCCCGGGTCACTCAGATAGGCTAGAATGACAGAGCTGCAAGACTTTCTGCAAGTTTTCTTCGCCTTATTGAGTTATCTTCCTCCTGAGTGGCCCCCATGTCCCCGGCATGTTCCTCCCAGAGGTCGATGTGCCGGATGCTGAGCCCACCCACCTGGTTAGCGTTCGCCACCAGCCTCACGCAGCTCACCTCGTGCCCCACGCTCTGTGGAACTACCTCCTGATCCGGCTGCCCTTCCAGGAGGTGGCCCAGCAAGGCGAGGCTGGTGCAGCGCTGCGGTGTCCCCTCGGGCTCGTAGCCCAGCTCCACCTGCCCCTTCTCCAGGGCGTGCTTGCCATCCACGATGGTGCCCGGCAGCACCTGCACCCTCCTCAGGTCCGCTGGGTGGTTCAGGATGACAGTCAGGTGGTTCCCTGCGCTGTGGGCCCAAAAGAAGGACTCGTCCAGACTGTAGGCCTGCCAGGGGAAATGGACCTCAAAAACCTTCATGTCTGTGAACGCGGCTCCTGGTGGGTTGTCAGGGGCTTAGGGGCTCTTTTTCTGCGTGCCCGAGGCCTTCTGGCTGTGTCGTTCGGCGCATGGTAGGGGACTCGGTGGTAGAACAGGAACGGTCTGCAGAGGATCGGGTCCTTCTGGGCCAGGAGGGTGCGGAAGTGAGGGAGGAGCCTGGCGAGGGGCTTCTCCCCGTAGAAGAGGAGGAGGAAGTGGGCCAGCACCGGGGGTCCCCGCTGCGGAAGAGCCTGCCCTGGAAGCCCAGGTTGGAGAACTCCAGGAGCGCCCAGGGCTGGGACCCCAGGGTGTCCGCTTTCCACCGAACGTGGTGATGAAGTTGGGGGCGCACGAGGTGCCGTCCTCCAGCAGCAGGAAGTACTCCGAGAGCTTCGCGGCGCAGCTCATGAGGAAGGCGTGGTCCGTGGTCCGCTGGGAGTAGGACTCCTGGCGAGAGGCCCCGCCCCGACGCCGCCCTCGTGGGGATGGGCCTCCGGCGGGGCGGGAATCGGCGCTGCCCCGCCGAGACCTGTGGGCCGAAGAGGCTGGAAATGCGGAGGCCGGCCTCCCTGAGCCAGGCCAGGCCAGGCCAGCGCCCGCCAGGTGGGCAGCAGTGTGTACGGGAGGCCGCTGCGGTCCGACCGGGGCCTCGAGCAGGTGCCGACCGTCAGCCACGCTGGGGCGGCCAGCTGCGCGGTCAGCGTGCAGGCGGGCCGAGTGGATGCTCTGCGGCACCAGCAGATGCTCTTCCCGCAGATGCTCGTCCCGCCCTCGCTGCTCGGCTATTTCCCACCCCAGGGGGCAGGTTCAGATCCTCGCTACGCAAAGCGTGGGCGTTAGTCCAGCAACATCGCCCCGTTTGGAAGCTTATTAGACGTGCAGAATCTAGTGAAGCAGAGTCTGCATTTTAACAAGGTCGCCAGGTGCCTGAGCTGGGGTGCTGCGTCCCCACGGGCCTCTGAGGCTTCTCTGAACTGGAATTTTGTGGCACATTGTTTAAGTACTCAATAAATATTAGCTTTTTTTTTTTTTGTCTGTGCCACTCCGCTTGTGGAATCTTAGTTCCCCCACCAGGGATCAAATCTGTACCCTCGTCAGTGAACGCGCCGGGTCCTAACCACTGGACCGCCAGGGAACTGCCAATATTAGCTATTTTTATAGTCATTATCATTCCTTTTGATTTTACCCAGCTCATCTTCCCAAAGCTCTCCTTTAAAGAAGATCTACTAGAAAAAGCCCTTCTCCTGGGACTCAGGAGTCCAAGACTATTGTCTCAGCTCTGCCACTGACTATGTGGCCTCCAGCGGGTCCCTGTACCCCTGAGCTTAACACTGGGTGAACTGGACACGTGGCCCAAAGGCCCCCTCGCCCCCCAGAGTTCTCTCACGCCGTGATCCCACCCTCCTGGAGCGGCCGCGTTACCTCTTCCCTCCTTCCCCCTCCACACAAAGGCCTTGGCAGGGAGAGGACTGTCTGCCGGGCCCGATGCCCCCCACCTTCCCCCCTTCTTCCCTCTGAGCCCCTTCTTCTCCTGATGCTTCTTCCCCCCTGGGGAGCCCACTCCCCTCCTCGGAACGCACTCTTCTTTCTCTGCTGGATTTTTTCCAAATATTTGCAGGTGAGATTCTGCCAGTCTTCTAGTGGTTCCAGATCCTTCCTTCTCCTATAACGGCCCTCCTGCGGCCTGGGCAGAGGCAACTCCTGGTCCTCCTTTCGTAAAAAGACAGGGTTTAACCTCTACTGGTTTCCCATGAGCCTTTCCAGGGAAATAGCGGGTCAGTCTCCCCAGGGCAAGCCCAGCACATTCTCAGGATGTCTGACCACTGGCCAGAGTACCCAGGGCTCAAGCAGTATCTGCTGTCTTCCTTGCCTTAACAGATATGGGGGGGAATGCAGCTTCTCTGTGGGCCAGTGGGTCCGGCCAGCTGCGCACCCACCGCCTCGGAGTCTCCTGCTCTCCGGTGAGAGGTACAGGGCATTTCCGAGACTCTACCTGTCCACGCCCACCACACACCCTTAATCCCCACAGTGAGAGCAACGCTGCTACTTGGGCTTCGATAGCCATCCTGTTCTGGTCGTCTTCAATTTCCCTGGGGACTTTCAGAGTGAACGAGAGTCACAGGAACCCACCGCCCACCAAGGTGACGCAGCAGTGCCGGACGGAAGCCTGCATGGCAGTTCCTACAGCAAGAGGGCAGGAGGGCAACAGGATGGCAGGGGGTGCTCCCTGGTCCACGCCTCCACCTCCCCGACTCCTGGGAGCCTGGCCCTCCCGACGGCCCTATTCCAGCCTTCCTCTCACCATGGTTAACTCACTTCCCAGGCTCGCCTTTCTGCCTGACCTGGGAACCTGAGCCTTCTTCCCGGCCTCAAGAGGGGAGGCCACCTGTCCTGGGACGTTTGCTGTCTTCTCTTTGTAGGTTTGTCTGGAGATTCCACTTCCCCAGGGCTCTCCCTGCTCCAATGATAACAGTCTGCTGGGCCTTCAGTGATGAGGGCCGTTTATCTTAGAAAGATGGTCACCACCCACCCCTACTTTTTTATTTTTAATTTTTATTTTTTTTGCGGTATGCGGGCCTCTCACTGTTGTGGCCTCTCCCGTTGTGGAGCACAGGCTCCGGACACGCAGGCTCAGCGGCCATGGCTCACGGGCCCAGCCACTCCGCGGCATGTGGGATCCTCCCGGACCGGGGCATGAACCCACGTCCCCTGCATCGGCAGGCGGACTCTCAACCACTGCCCCACCAGGGAAGCCCCCCCTACTTTTTTAAACAAAAGTCAAACAATTTATTAAAATAGCTGAACTTGAAGTGTTGCTAAGTGCTAAGCAATTTGGTGCCTTTCTTACTTCTTGTAAAGGGCATCCTTAATTTATCCCAATTCTTAATCTCATTCACAGACCTTGATTAGAACATGATTCTGGGACTTCCCTGGTGGCGCAGTGGTTAAGAATCCATCTGCCAATGCAGGGGACACAGGTTCGAGCCTTGGTCCCGGAAGATCCCACATGCCGCGGAGCAACTAAGCCCGTGCGCCACAACTACTGAGCCCGCGCTCTAGAGCCCGTGCTCCGCAACAAAAAAAGAACATGATTCTGTTAACTCAGAGTAAAAAAAAAAATCCTTTTGTGAGTGGTGGGCTGCTGGAATTCAGGCTGGCTCAGACTCAAAAGCACTCGTGGGCTGCTTTTTCCCTGTCAGTGTCTTTTCTCCGGAGACAATGTGGTTTCTTGATTGTTTCTAAATGATCAGAGGAGAGGCTCTGATGTACCTTGTCTCCCGCTCTCGGCCATTTGTCTGCCTAGTCAGGACACAAAAGTAAAGAAATCGTAGTAATTTCTCTGCCCCCAAGGCTAGACTATTCTCTAATTTCCCCATTTGCATGGTTCCCTGCCAGTTTAGTATTTTGGTAGAGGTTACCATGCTTCCCTCCCTTAACCATTTAGCCTTTTGATAAGAGTTACAAAAACAGTACTTATATATGGTAGGAAGGCTTAAACTTTCCTTACCTGGTTTCCTTAAGTCAGATAGGTCATTCAGATACAAACCACTACATGTAACAGAAATAGGCTTCTTTTTTCTAGAACATAAATACATGCACACAAATACTGACTGAATAAAAGGCTCTACAACTACAGCCGGAGGAATTCACCCTCAAGGGAACAGCCCTGTCCCCTCTGCCCCTCCTGTGCGGTTCACCTGTCACACCAGCAGGAGCGCTGCCCTCGCCGAGCCCTGAGTTTGACAGGCTCCTGGGAGACCAGGAGAGAGAGAAAGAGGAGTTGGGGTGCTGAGGACCCGCACAGCGACTGGGCCCCTCCCCCCAGCTCTCCAGCCCCGAGCTAAGCTCCTCTGTGACGTTGCTCTGTGTCCTGCCACCTGTCCCATCATCAGGGCTACACCCGGCCAGGACTTACCTGTGGGCGGTGCTTACCTGAGAAGCACGGAACTGCCCCCCAGCACGCCCTCCCTCTACCCCGTCCCTCCCGCCCTCGGTGGTTGGCTGGCTCCCGACTCTCATTCCCTCTCACCTTCTGACTTTGTCACCCCTGCAGTTACCCTTTTTCACTTCTGCGATGTTGCCACTTCTCCCGGTCTCCTGGACCATTCCCGTCACTGTAAAAAGGACGTCTGCTATCTTCCGGTGGGTAAAAAAAGCAAAAAGCAAATCCCTCCCTGAATTCATGTTCTCTCCAAATCCTGCCCCGTCCCTCTGCAGCCCTCAAGAGCAACACCCCTGGAAAGCTGTGTCGTCATCATCAGTCTCACTTCGCCGCCATTTCCTCCTGCATCTCACTCAGCCCCTTCCTCCCTGAGACACCCTTCCCGTGCAGCGCTCGCCAGCTTGGCCTTCCTTCCCTGGTTCTTTCCCTGGCTTCTCCTCTTCCCAGCCAGTGACTGTCGAGCGTCCCAGGGTTCTGACCCAGTCCCGTGGCTTTAAGTGCTGTGTACATTACAGGCGTGTGCATACACGTGTGTACATACATACACATATAAGGTGTGTGCATATCTACATATATCCTTTCATATATACGTACGTTTCATATATACGTGCACGCGCACACACAGACACATACACACACACATGCACACACTGAGAACTCCTAGGGCTGATCTTACCTCCAGCTTTGGCCTCTGTCCTGAGCTCCAAATTACCTGACTCTTCACCACCTCCTTTTGGATTACAGGTATCTCAATTTTAACAGAGCCAAATAGAATTATAGACTCTTCCTATTTCCCAAATCTTTTCCTCCCCAAGTTTTCCCCATCTCAGTAAATAGCACCACCATTTTTCCAGCTACTCATGGGAAAAATCCTCAATGCCTCTCTCTCCTTAACACTCCACGTTCAATCTACTCAGTCCTGTTATCTTTTCCTCCAAAACGCGTCCGGAATACGACCCTTTCTCTCCATCTCTGCTGCTACAACCCAAGTCCACACCACCATCATCTGCTGCCTGGACCACTGCCACCACCCAACTGGTCCCTCCTCTCCACCCGTGTTCTCCTGCAACCTTCCCTCCACACGGCAAAGAGGTCTTTTACATTGTAGACCGAGTGATATCCCTTCGCGAACTCCAGACCACAGCCTCCTGGGTCCTGCCTGACTGGCCATCTGTCTCTTTGACTCCATCTCCCGTTCCCCCCCACTCCCCGCCCCTCCTCCCCCTTGGGGGAGGGGGCATCCCTCGGACAAACCAAGGTGTTTCTCAACTCAGGCCTTTGCATTTGCTCTTCTTCTTAGAACTTTCCTCCGGAGACTTTCCGAGAGCCGACCCCTCCCAATACCCACATCGGAGCTCAGACGTTCTTTCTCCGGCCTCCAGTCATCGTGGCTAAAGTCGCCTCCCGCCACCTCTCCCGTCCTCCCGTTGCGCTACCACGCCTTCTATTTTCTTAGCATTTCTTGCTACCAGAAGCTATCCTCCTTGTGTGTGTCGCTGTCTGTCTCTATCCACTAGGCTGATGGCCCGGCCTTTGTTTTGCCCAATGCCACATCCACAGCACTTCGCACGGCACCTGGCCCAGAGAGCGAGCTCAACAGGTGTGTATTAAGTCACTAGTTATCGGGATGACGCGATACGGTGAGTGGTCATCTGCCTCTTCCACACACATGTGCTAGGTGCCAGGGACACAGCAGTGCCAGGAGGACCGGGCAGTACAACAGAGGAGGGCAATACGTGTGCGATGGTTAAGAGCTCAGATTCTCGACGTAGACTCCGACTCGGGCCAGAATGTGCTTCTGCTAAACTTACTGGCCAGGTGACCTTGGCCGAATGACTCAGTCTCTCTGAGCCCCAGTTCCTCATCTAGAAACTAAAGATAACGATGGCTACTCTCAGGTGTTCTTATGAGGATGAGAAGAAATCCTCCACAGGAAAATGCCCAGCATACAGCAAGCGCTCAATAAATGTCAGCACTTTTCTGCTAACAATGACTGTTTTTCGAACACGGAGACCAGCAATGCCTTCCTTTATGTCATATTTGAGACGCCCATCTCCCTTTATTCCTAAATCCCCACCCAAGTTTTTACTTTTAGACTCTTAAACAGACGCACAGCACTTTGAGAACACTTCTGCATCTTGGCACCTCATTCGCACTCCTCTGAGGGCCTTAGAGGGGGCAAACAGTGGAGGAAGAGGGGAAAATAGGTATTTTTTAATTGAAGCACAGTGGATGTAAAATGAAAATAAATACTAAACAAGCCCTGGCAGGTCCCTCGGCAGCAGCGCAGATCAGGGTGAGCCATCTGAGATGCTGTACCTGTTGCCATGGTGTGTCCCAGGTGTGGGCTCCAGACTTTGCTGCAAGGTAGAGCTCTCCTTCCAGCCTAGAAGCATGAACTCGAGCCCCGGCAGGGAGGTGGGGAGATGGGCAGGAGCTCACCTCCAGCCCTCAGCATCTCTCTCTGGTGCTCCCTTGGTAACCATTGTTCTCCCGGAAGGTCAGCAAACTCATCATCCCACCAGCCTCTCCAGGGAGGTGGCTCCACGCAGAACACACTCGGACCACAAGCACGTCTGGTTGGGCCACACACTGTTTTTTAGAAATTTGATTGAAGATTGAACATCTAAAAATTAGGAGAGATTGCATAAATAATTAGACTTCTGGCTTCTCTGGAAAATTGCAACTTGCTGCCACCCTGGCCTGAGCAGTGGTGGCCCCGGTCGCCGGACGTGCATTCTCTTCTTCAGAGTCCACCTGGCTGGTTTCTCTCATTTATTTCTGTCCCCTGAAGGCATTGAGTCTTTGGCCTTTGCTCTAAGTCAGGTCTTGGGAGACTTGAAGACTATGCTAGGTCCTGGTCTTATACTGGGCACCTGAAAAGATGGGGCACAAAGTGACCCCTTGAGTTGAAGGGCTGTGGGCAGAGGTAGGAGGGAAATGAATAGAAGATTGCAGCCAAGTGAATAATCAACAGTACAAAACAGACCGGAGAGATAAGCAATAGGGATTGATCTTGTATGTGATGTGGACAGCGTTCTGGAGGATGTAGGGAAGACATGGCAAGGAGCAATGGTTAAACCTTGAGCTGAGGTGGGTGTGAAGAAACTACTGCAGCTCCATCTTCTTGAAAGCTAGCAAACAACAGGAAAAACTAACCTCCAAGCAGCATTTCTCCAACTGAGGGTCAGAATCCATAATAGGTTACAAAGCCAACCTCATGAGTCTCAACCGGCACATGCGTCACTGTATAAGGGCAAGTATTGTTTTGTGAAACCGTTAGAATGTAAGTGAAGGTACTATAGATGACAGTCCAGAAAGTGTGAAACCAGCGTGGCTTAGAGGGGAGAGAATGGACACATGTTGGCAGCTGCAGGGCCAGCTGGTGGTCAGATTTGGGATGGGGTTTCCATGTTCTCTTTCCTCAGCTTGGTGTTTAGGGAAGATCACAGGCTCCAGTGTTCCCATTCCAGTCCTAGCTCTGTTGTTACCTGTGTGATTTTGCCTAATAAACTCTTCTGAGTCTCAGTTTCTCCATTTGAAAAATGGCGACAGTATCACCCATCTACTTCACGGGGTTGGTATGTCCCATAGACTATGAATTACTCCCCAGCCACTGGCGTGGTCCTATTCCTGGTCGCACAGTATCTCTAGGTGCGCAGGTAGCATCCCTTCCTGCCAGGGGAGAGAAGAAAGGGACTCAGCGTTAGGATTTTGTGTCAGACCCTGTGCCGGACGTGTGACAGGATTTGGTTGAACGCTGGATTTCAAACGAGCACGGTGGATTCGGGAGTGCTCTGGGAAGTTCAGATATAATTAGTGTAGAAGTCCTTTTATTCCTGTTGCAAGACTTTCATCCTGGATGCAGAGAATTTCAAACATTCCAACCATCCAAGGCCCTAGAGCATGCTGAGAGGGGTCCTCAGTCCAGAGACCTTCCTTAGGGGTGACGGTGGCGGCTGCAGTGTGAACAAGGAACTTGAGTTCTTCTCTCTGCCTCTCACCTTTTCCCAGCAGAGTCCAGAACCTCCAAAGTGGCCCAGCCTGAATGGGAGGAAACACCCCGAAGGGAGTGTGGGTAACGCTGCTACCCTGCCCCAGCCCTATGGGCAGGGCTGGCGGCACCAGGACTGAGGTTCCCTGGGGAGGGACCCACACACCCAGGTAAACCAAAGTTCTGATCCTGGATCCCTTTGGGCTGAGCCAGAGAGAAGGGGTCCCATGACTGGAGAGGAAGAGAGGATGCTCCCAGGGACAGAAGCCCAGGGATGAGACTCTTGTCTCCGTGGGAGCTGATCTGCAAGGGCAGCCCCCATAGCTGTGGCTGGGGCAGAACCGGGAGCACAGAAGTCCCACCAAAGAGATGTCCAGCAGAGCAGGAGGGGTTGCTGGTTCCAGGGAAATAAGCAGGGCAGGGGAGCTGGGGAATGTCAGGGGCGCATCCCAGTGCGTGCCCCCCCCCCCCCCACTGATCTGTTGTGAGACCTCTTCCTGCTTACCCTGGGCAACCAGATTCTTCTCCTTGTCCGGTCCAAAACTCCATCCTCGGCCAGACAGAGCCACAGACACTAAAAGCCATTTCCCTTCCCCTTCAACAAACGTGTGGAGCTCCTTCCACGTGCCTGGTCCCGGGCTGGAGGCCGTGACTCCCTCCCTGCAGCGGTTTACAATCCGGTGGGGACCCTTGCCTGTGTAGGGCACGAGGGCAGGGACGGCAGTGGAAAAAGACAAATGCCTGGTTAAAGGAACAGGAATAGAGAGACGCCGTGGGAGTGCACAAAATAAAGCAAAACACGGAGACCACCAAGGCGGCAGCTCATCCTGAGATCTCAAGGTCTGTGGGTCTGTCTCCACAGGGGACATCTGACACCAAGCATTCGGGCCCCCAAAGGGGTGGGAGAGGACGACAGTGGACTAGAGGGAGGGGCCGAGCTGGATCGTGAGGAGGCTAAGGAGAGGCCTGTGCGTCGGTGAAATTAGGGGAAAGGAGAGGAGAGAGGAGGTCCAGCAGCGTTGGGGAGGGACGAGCGCTGTGCAAGGGACGCTCGCAGAGACCGGGGGCCGCGCGGAGGGCAGACGCACGCCCACCCCCCGCGCCAGGAAAGCAGCCGGAGGCGGCGGCGGCCTTGGGGCGGGAGGTGCCCTCCACGTGCGCTACGTGCCGCGCGGGCCGCCCCCTTCGCGGCCGCCGGGGAGCCGGCCTCCCCACTCCTGGAGCCCAGTCCGGAGGTGGGCGCGGGACCAGGTCGCCCCCCCAGTTTGCGAGTCTGCGGCGCCCGGAAGGAACGCGGCGGCGCCCCATCACCGGGCGGCCGGCCCGGGGTGCAGGATGCAGAGCCAGGGGCGCGGGCCGGGTGGGGTCGGGCAGGCTGTTCGGGAGGCCTGGGGGCTGAGCGGGCAGGAGGAGGATAGAGACCCCAGGGACGTGTGCGAGGCTCCGGGGCCGCACACAGGCGGCGGCTGGAGAAGGAGCCCGGCGGGGCGGGGTGTCGTCCCGGGTGAGGAGGGGTTCCTGGACACGTGGCACCCGGACAGGGCTCGGTTACGCTCCGGCCGCCGGGACTGCCACCCACCGGCCGCGGCACCGGACGCGGCCGCGACGCCGGCCCACCCCTGCCTCGCGGCCAGCTGCCCAGAGACCCGGACCTCCGACCGAGAGCGCAGCACAGCCACTGGGGAGCCCTGCGGCCGCTGAGCAGACAATGAGGCGCGTGCCCCGCCCCCAAGCGCCGCGCCGTCCGGCCAATCAGCGCCCACGCCGGCCGGCCAATCAGCGCCCGCGGCCGGGCTCTTTAAAAAAAGAAGGACCGGCGCGGCGCCGCTGTCAGCTGGGTGGATCCCTCCGCGCATGTAAACACACATCATAAAGGGCCGGGAGCGTCTCCGCCTCCCCGCGGGAGGAGCGGCCGCGGGCGCAGCGCCTTTTTCCGGAGCAGCTCTATGGTCCCCTCGCCGCCCGGCGGCCGACCCTCTCTCAGCGTCACGACGCGTCCGCGGGGAGCCGACAGCCGCTGCGCCGCCTGGAGCCACGAAATCCCGTGGCTGGGGTTGCTACCGGAAGTTGGGGACGCGAGGCCGGGAGGGGCGGGGGCGGCCCGCGGGCAGCTGGGGACTGGAGCGTTTTCCGTGGGTTCGCTGTCCTGCATCACGGTCGTAATCCGTACGTGTCTAGAGTTTTCCTCAAAGTTATGCCTACCTGGCTTGGCGGATGCCAATGCTGTGTGAAAATAGTCTTAACGTTGCTCCTAGGAAAGAGCACATGACAGGAAATCAAGTCTAGCGAGACCCTCTAAAGCACAGACCGCCCAAGGCAAAGAGCAACAACGAGGATTTTTTCTCCCCAACGTTTTACTGTGAAAAAATTTGAAAGATTCAGCAAAGTTAAAACCATCTTTTGCAGCCGACTCCTCTATCCCCCGCACCTAGATTCTAACTTGCTATCTCATATCCTTCTTACACCGATGACTTTTTCTCTACTAGGATGCCAGCTGCCCTTGGCCTCAGTCTCCATTGTCATGGCTTAGGTAGGTCCCAAAGCCCTAGACAAATAAGGCCTGCCTTCTCCAAGGACCTTTCGGTTTACTTAAGAGTTTACTGAAGAGGAGCTTTCTCCCCTCGCCGGCCTCTTAGTCGAAGAATCCTCAAGGATGAGATTTGTTTACTCCAGGTGAATCTAAAAGCAGGGCTAGAACTCTGTTGACACCTACCTACGAAGGAGGCCCTGGCAAACGGTCCCTCCATGGGTTTGGCTGCTTTCTGGATAAAAGACATCTTTTTAAATGTTGAAGTCCTACTTTTTGAGTTCTCTCCCCTTTTCTGGGGAAGGACATTACCTGACCCCCCCCCCCCACCATGTGTCAAAATTGTTCTTACCTCTTAAAGTGCCTTCATGATCTGCTCTGCAAAATGGGGGTAATAGTGCCTCCCAAGCGGGGTGGGAGTGAAGCTTCAAGGAGCGAATATACCACTACACACAAGGCATTTACAAGGATGTCTTACACACAGTAAGCATCAGATAAAGAAGGGCTCTCATTCAGGCTAATCACTCCCAGATTTACATCTCCACTTCTGATCTCTCCCCTTCTGATTTACACGCTGAGCCTGTTGGGTATCTCCAACTGTCCCAGACACCTCAGACTCAACATGGCCAGAAGTGGACCCACGAGCTCCCTCCCCAGACTGACTTCTTGTTCCCCAGCGATGCCAGTGGCCGCACCCACTCAGGCATGTACCTATACCCCTGAATCGCTCCTCCCCAATTTGTCACTTTTATGCCCTCCATTTGCATTCCTCCCTCCTAATGAATAGCATCACTGCCTTAATTTAGGCCCCATCATTCCTCATCTGGATTATTTCAAGGCTCCCGCTCTTCTCATATCCAGCTTCGCCGTGTATTGCTCGCGGACCACACTTCCCTGCAACATCCTACCTTCCAATAAGTGAAGTCTCCACCACTTGTTAACCTAGGAATTTGGGCAAATTTCTTAATCAACCTATGCCTCTCTGTCGTTATTTGTAAAATGGAAACGAGTACCTGCCTCGTAGGGTTGCTGTGTATATTAAAGATTAATCATGAAAGCACGTGGCACAGGGCCTAGGAGATGAAGTGATCAGAGTGTTAGTTTATTATCCTCCTAACTGTTGTCTCACCTACAGGCTGTTGTCACGTTCAAGCTCTTCCCTCTACCTGTTAAAGCCTCCTCCGTCCCCGACACCCTGCGCCCCTCGGGGTCTGACCAGGTGTCCTTGCACTTCCACCACGGCGCTTCCCACGGGGCGGGACGGGACGGAGCGTACACCCGTGGGCCCGGCTTTTCCCCCAGACCTGTAACTTCCCGAGGGAGGGAAGGGGCTCTGGCACGTAGTCAGTGGTCAGTGGGTGCCGGCTGGGCTGGACCGTGAGGACGAGCTCCATCCCCCGGGGGCCGCCCCGCCCGAGGGCCGGGCGCTCAGCACGGGCCAGGTGGGGGTGGGGTGGGACTCCTTTTCCTCGCCGTGGCGGCGGAGGCGCACGGCGTGGCTGGCGCGGCGCGGCGTCGTCGGTCGGTGTCGGAGTCGGAGTCGGAGGAGCCGGAGTCTGAGGAACCGGATCCGAGACTGAGGAGAAGGAGGAGAAGAGGTGAAGGAAGAGGAGGAGAAGAAGAAGGCGAAGGATTAGGAGAAAGGCCAAGGAACCGGAGGAGGCCAAGAACCGTCGCTCAGCCGCGTCCGCGGCGCCGCGAGGATGGAGGCCCCCGGCCCGCGCCCCGCGCCGGCCCTCGGCGGCCCCGGCCCGCTGGGCGAGTTCCTGCCGCCGCCCGAGTGCCCGGTCTTCGAGCCCAGCTGGGAGGAGTTCGCCGACCCTTTCGCCTTCATCCACAAGATTCGGCCCATAGCCGAGCAGACAGGAATCTGCAAGGTGCGGCCGCCGCCGGTGAGTCTCGAGCGGGGCTCGCGGCCGGCCGGCGGGCGGCTGGGCCTCTGCGCGGGGCGAGGGGACAGCGGCCGGAGCGCGGCCGGGGTTCGTATCCGGACGGAGAGGCGGCAGCACCACCGGCACCGGGGTCGTGGCCGTGCGCCGGAGCCCGCGGGGCGGAGGGCGGGCTGGCGCGGAGGCCCCCGGGCGCGGGTGCGGCGGGTGCGGGGCGCCGGGGGTGCGGGGTGCGCGCCCCGCGAGTTGTCGCGAGGAGGAAAGTTTTCAATATGGCGGCGGAGCCCCTGGTCCTTTGTGTGGAGGCGGCGGCGGCCCGGGCGGCTTCACCTGGCGCCCCACCCTCCGGCCCCGGACCCCCCGCCCCGGCCCGGACCCCTGGCGGGCCCCCCGGGCCGGGGACTAGGCGGGGCGACGGAGCCAGACGGGGGCACCGCGGGCCGGGCCGAGCGGACGTGCTGAGGGGGCGTGAGCGTGGGGTTGGGGGGGCGGCCGCCCAGAGGCTCCCCGGCCCCCGCCCCGAGAGCTGCACGCGGCGGGCGGTGTCAGCCCCGAAGGCGGAGGCCGCCCCGCGTCCCGACCCGGAGCGGAGGCCCCAGCGCAGCCCCCTGCCCGGGTGGGCGTGAGGGTGGGTGTTCCCGAAACGGTCACCAACGGCTGCAACGTCGGCGGAGAAGCCCTGCCGGCCCCTGCCCCCTCCCCTCCTCCTTTCCTCCCCTCCCCCCTCCCCTCCCGTCACTTCCCCTCCCCCTCCCCCAGCCCCCGGCCGCAAACTCCGGACCCCTGGGCTGTGCCCACCTTTCGGACCGGCCGAGGCGACCTCAGCAGTTGGATGGGCCGGGACCGTTGGCCGGAGGTTTAACTGCTTTTCCGACAGTTTGAGAAGCTTCTCCCCGCTCCGCCCCCGCTCCCTCGGAGGAAGCCCCCCCTCCCGCCCCTTTCTTTCTTAGGTTTGTTCTTTGTAATGACGTTGGAGTTGAGGGGTTCTGTGCGTAACCGCTCAGCCTGGAGAGCTGTGTCGAGGGAGATCCCGACTGAGTCTGTCTGATCCCAAGTCCCCCCTCCCCCCGAATTGAAATGCGGACTCTATATTGGAGTTTTTCTTGGACTAGTTTGAAATGGAGATGAAATACCTGTCTCCGGGAATAACTGGTCAGTTAGGATGGGGGAGATTATTGAGAATAGACGCCTTTCTCTCAAGAAGTAGACAAGGTTGATTGTCGTTGCTCAAGGGAAGTGCGTGTCGGTTGGAGCGCAGAGGCCTGCAGAAGTTGTGCGGTGATTGGGGCCAGGGTTTTAGTTGTGGAAGAATAGGGCATGGACAGGTAGCAGCGGAGCTTTGTGTCAGCGTTAGGGACGGGGACTGTGAATAGTCCGCGTTCGCATCCATGGGCGTCCGTTCTGAAACTAGGCAACTTGAGCAAGTTCTCGGTAGCCCAAGTGTGCAGTCGGTTCCTGGGGGGGAGTTGTCCTCCATGTTGGTATTGTGGTGCACTAGGGCTGGGGTAAACCCTTTATCTACTTTCTTTTCCTATTCCTTTTGTCGGGTTCTTTTCCTAGAAAGATAGTGTTGCTCTGGTTAGGTTTGGCTACTCATTTCAGCATCTTGGCCAGAATATTAATGGTAAGCTCTGCAAAATGTGTGATCTTTCTGCCTTTCCCCATTCTGAATGTCAGACAGACGTGATGGCCACCATTTTGTATTGAGAGTGGTACTTACTACAGCCGAGGAAGGGTATTAAAGAGGCACAAATAAATAATCCACAAACATAACCAGTGCTCTGTTTTAGAGACCTCCTTTGTGTGGAGGAGGCTTCTTCCTCCTTTGTTTAACAAACTCCTGTGCCAATTGGAAAGAGTTTGGGAGTATTTCTAGTTGATATAACCGCAAAAAGGGAAACCTTTCCAGAAGTTGTAGCTCTTGAAGAAGGGTCTTGTTGGAACAAAGGGATCTTAAGAGATGGAGATGTAAACAAGTCTTTGTTTTAGAAACCGTTTTCTTTTAGAAAGCTAACTGTGAACAAGTGGTTTCATATAGTTGAAATAAAGCAACAACAAACCAAGAGATAAGAAATATTTTCCATGGCGATAGCTATATAATGCCCGTGTTTCTAGATGATTTGTTACCACTAAGTTTTTGGAATACAAGTGACTGTATTAAAATGGGGATTGGGTTTATTGGTATTTTATTTCTCGGAGATAAGGGGAAGAATTACAAAGCATTTCTATTTCCTTTTGTCCTTAACTTTGCATCTTTAATTAATGGTACTTAACGTAGCTTCAATTTATAGCTGCTTCTTAGTGATGGTCCTAAACTGCTTTGCTACTGAAACTTGAGGTTCACAGAAATTTGTTAATGAAAATATAGTAAGATAAGTATGATAAAAGGTAATAAAATCAAGAAGATGTTATTCAGATCCTGAGTTATAAGTTTAAATAGGGTAGTAAACAAACCTATTTTCAAATTACATCAAGTATGTAGGATAACTAGGCTTGTTTCCTCGACTTTTTTTTTTTTCCAATTTACAATTAATCTGACTTCTGGTTTGTTACCTTTAGATGCAAATTTTCATTTCCTTCTTGATGTACTTAGATTTCTTTTTAAGGACAAATTTTCCATGTCACTTT